GCCCCCACCTACTCCTAGACAAACAGATGGGTGCAAGGCCATTGAGGTCCACTCTGTCTGCAGTTGAACTCCTTACCGAACAGATCAACACAATCTGGGGTAGGAACAAGAAGAGGGTAGCTTCTCTCCTCAGTTTAGATATATCTGGCACGTTTGATAACGTCTCTCACAAAAGACTTATCCATAACATGAGGGCTAAAAAGATTCCTAGGTGGATCACGCAGCTTGTAGAGTCCTTCCTAGAAGACAGAACTACAGCGATGAGCCTCGGCTCATTGCAAGGGGACCATTTTGCGACTTGTACAGGAAACCCTCAAGGGTCCTTCCTGTCGCCAATTCCGTTCCTATTCTTTGTCAGCACCCTGCTTGCGGAACTTCAGTCGACAAATTTCACAGCTGTAGGATTTGTTGACGATACGAATACACTAACATGGTCAAACTCCACAAAAGAAAACGTTCAAAAACTCGAGAAGCTTCATGGCTCATGCGAAAAGTGGGCCGAAAAACATGGAGTCAAATTTGCGCCGGAGAAGAATCAGCTAATGCACTTCTCTAGGGCTCGAACAAGACACAACATGAAATCGACAGTCCAAATACAAAGCCATCTAGTAAGACCTCAAATCTCTCTCCGAATCTTAGGCATCTACTTAGATCCAAAGCTGAACTGGAATGATCACATCGAAATTACACAGACCAAAGTAGAATCGTAGTTGGTAGCACTAAGTAGATTGACACAGTCGATATGGGGAGCATCTTTCTACAAATCACTGCAAGTATATAACGCCATAGTCTGACCAGCATTCACCTATGGGTCACTAATTTGGGCGGAGGTTGGACCCAAAAGCAAAATCCCGGAGAGAATAATCAAGCCTCTAAGAAGTAGCCAAAGGAAATGTCTAAAACTTGTAACAGTAGCATACAGATCAACAAGCTGTAGGGTACTAGAGCATGAAACCTTAACCCTGCCAATAGATATATACCCCAAGCATAGACGGCTTCAATATATCGGGATATCGAGAAAATTGACAGTTCATGGAACAATTTTATTAGTATGCAGTGTCACGGTTTCGAGGGACAAGTGCTGGGGCAACTATGTGGTCGATGGTAGTAAATAATGATTCTAAGGAGAGAACTTCCACTACATCTATCTATTCATTTATATACGTGAAAGCCTCCTCGCCACCGAGGCTAATCCCTCTCCTATTCCTATGCTATGGGACTCTTCTAGTGTTCTGACTATGCCTGTAATACAGCATTATCGCGTTATGGTCCGGAGGGATTGTACTCGGTCTCGTATATTCCCAGTCAGTATAAGCCTATCAACATGTGGTGCAGTGCCGTACTGCCGTGCCGCACTGCCGAGTCCGGTGCCATGTGAATACCATGCAAATGCCGACGCAAAAGAATTGTATTGGGTGGCGTCGCATATTAGTGCATTGGTAGTCATTAATAACGCCACTCGAATCAGGCCTAAGTTAACCAACATAGGCTACAGGGACCAATCGGCTTACCGGCCGTTACATGCAGGATGAGCAAACTACCAAGGACCAGATTACAAGATATACGCGACAGTACAAAAGCTAAGGAATTCTCTGCCTGGGATACGATTTGTGGGAAGAACGACACCAAAAGCTGAGAGAAAGCGGCTGGAAAAGTCGCAGCTTTTAAGGAATGGAAAAAATCCTGGAATCAACTAAACACTAATCAGTCTACTAACCATCAAGCGACGGCAGATCCAAAAATCTGGATGGCAGCCAACATTTTCATAGACGAAAAGACCAAAGAGACAAGAATGAACTACAGAGGAACACCCTCCAGTATCCACAAAAACCTTAACAGTGTAACGGCTGGTAAGCCGACTGGTGCCTGTAGCGCATGTTGGCCAACATGAGCCTGGCCTGACATTGGTAGCGCACGATTGATCGACGTCAATACGCGGATATATGATGCCACTCAACAGAATATCAAGGCATTGGCTTCTATTTTGGCAGGGCAGCAGTATTGGACCACACAGCTTTCACGGACCGACTGATGTGGAGATGGTATGCTGCCAACCTATGGCTCTAAGACTATATGGCTACTGCTATGTCAGGGATAGATTCATGGTGTTGAGGTAGAGTCTGATCCTAGCTTCGGCTGGTATTCCTCTAGACAAGTTCTAGTTCGATGGAATTCTAAGCTACTCTGGCAATTAGTTTCGGGATGTTTCGGGATGGTATTTTGTACTCTTACCACTTCAGTGGGCTTCGATGGGATTCTAGCTTACTCTCAGGAGTTCGACAGGAATCGCGCTGGAACTAGATTACTGTAGTCTGTAGCAGATAGTGTCGTAGTATAAGTAGCTGAGGTATCTTCATGTCTGGAGCCCTCCAGCTTTCAGTCTTGTATTATTCCTTAGATACCCAAGAATCAAGAATCAAGAACCAAGTCTTTAATGTTATTACATTTTCTTTACCATCAAGAGCCCAAGATTTAGCGCCTCCAGTTCAAGTTAAGTAACCAAGTCCCAAGAGATCCTCACAACAGCTACAACACATTGAGGTGTTACAACGAGTAGGGCCTACACATGTGATGAATCCCATTGGATCCAAGACGGAGGCCCTGTGCCTCAAACACATAGACAATATATATGTATAGGTATAAATAGAGTCTGAAGTAGTTCTCTCTTCAGAATGATAATTTATATACTATCGACTGCATAGTTGCACCAGCGCCTGCCCCTTGATCCGCGACAAATAGGGCCCAAAGTAGCATAGCCATGCAGATAAGAAGTGAGCACATTGGGTTCAACTCTTACCTGCACAGAAGACATGTTTCCGGAGTAGACAGCCCACGATGCCAATGTGGGTATCCGTTCCAGAACGTCAAGCATATGATCATGGCATGCTCCAATTGAGCCAAAAAGAGAGGGGAGATACTGAGAAAGGCAGAGTCTCGGTCATTTGAGGCGATGATGAATAGCCCGAAAGATGTGGCAATAATTACGAAGTGGATTCAACATGAAGGGAGATTGGAGCAGTTTCGACTGACGCTTGAAGTCGAGGCCACGATGAGGGAGAGAGAGGAGAGTAGAATAGAGGAAAGACAATCTCCGGCAAGCAACAATGAAGTGGACGGTATCCGCACTGCACATAACAGTGTTAGTACACTTCTTGAAGGTAACACAACTTTAAAGTATGTGTAAATTGGAACGCTGAGGGGGTTTTTAACATAAAGGTTTCCTCCTACATAAATATTAGAGTTCGTAGACACCTGCATGGGCCTCAAGGCTCTAAATCGGGCTTAATGAAATCAAATTCAAAGAGCACACTGAAAATATGCAGTCCAGCCGGCATAGCTCTGCATCATGATCACGTTAAATTCTCTAACATCAGACCAAAACTTTCTTCTCAGTTTAGTGCCTCCTACAGGAAACGAACCTGTGATCTTAGCATGACCTGTGTGTACAAGTGCTACGCGTTACCACTGCGCCAAAGAGGCTATACGTGCACTGACAAAGATTAATTAATATTCTAATATGCCAATTACAAAATTATCAATCTGTACCCAATTATTTTTCCCATCAGGTCCTAAATTCATTTCACTAAGCTGTCTGAGGCTATGAACTTGTATGACATGCAGACCCCCTCTGCCTACGGGCCAAGGACACTTATCCCAGTATTACATCCCCTCCCATGCCTCTCATACAGCTCTAACGTATAGTTTAATCTCCATTACTTTTACTACAATTTTATGGTAGTTGGTCTATCGGGTCAAGCCCTAATAAATTTTCTCGTCATCTTTGCAGTATTAATAATAATAGTCCATTTATATTCTATTTGAGTTTACAACTATGTAGGACAAACTATTTAAATACAACTTATCTTTTCCATTCTAATTGGGGTTTCTTTAATTTGATGGTGGGATCCCCATTACTGGTTCACCAGGGGGAACTTTGTAGTATTGGGTCTTTCTGAATAAACTAACCGTGCCATGTCAAATGAAATGTAAGGCTTGTTCCTGGCACGTTAAAATAACAATCAATGAAGCCCAGTGGACCATCTTCAGCACAGCAAAATCTGTTAGCAGCTCAACCGTGGAAGATAATCTCGCGCTGTCCGTCGAATAGGCCACTGACAAGCGTTAATCTCTGTCTCCTGTGATAGACATGTAAATTTTAGTGACTATCATTGTTCTGTGGGTGGTAAAGATACTGGAGGAGATATGTCTTCGTAGAGGAGTTTTAATAGATGATGGATGATGAGAGATAGACTATTTGTCGGCTTCGGCAAATATTTTAGCCAAAATTCATAGAGAATTTCGAGGAAGCATTGTGGCCGTCAGAGCATCTAGAGCACTATGTAGGATTTATTTATGAAAGAGACGGATTCTTCTTCTATAGCTTGCTATTTCAAGAAATCATGAGGGTAATAATGTTCTTTCTGTGCTTTTTTATAATAAACCAAGTTTTGAGGCCTCGATTAGGGGTACATTCGTATAGATTCTGAGCCTCAGATTAGAAAACGCTCCAGTTATTCCCTGCTGCCTTGATGAGACGGCTCACACCACAAGTGGATATTTACTCGTTACGTTAAATTGTCAACACGTGCGACGTAATTTGGTGGCTCTGAGTCTGTATACGCAACTTCAGTGCGGTTAGGCTGGTCGAACAATAATAAAGTGCAGTTCTCCAGAAAACACGGCAGCATTTGCATTGTAGGTACCTCTTGCCACAAGAATCGCCGAGCAGTGATACTGCTGAGCCATGATCTTGTCTCACTCGCCGTACTGTCTCTTGCGGTGTAACAATCAGATTGGGATATTCCATATGGCGATTGTTGATAGCTGTGCCTGAGGTGTCAGAGCAAGGCAGGAGAGTCTGAAAAACTTGAGCCTCGCGCCAGTCGGCGACATTTATCAGCATTCCTAACTCTACACGTAGATAGCGCAGTTACAATCGGAAGAAATTTGCCTCAGCAAGGCTTCTGCACGACTAAATCGCAAATCTTTAGGCTTCCAACATGTCTCTCATCGCACGCTTCAATCCGATCAATGTCCAATGCCGAGGATTCAGCGGGACTGCCAACGCGCTAGCTAAATCGACCAAACAACGTCTTAAGTTTGAGCACAGCGCCGTGCCGCCTTATCCCTACGGACCATCTCAGATTTACAAGCAGTCCAACTTTGGACTTTATGGCACTCAAAAGATTCGCTTTGGAAACATGGTGTCAGAGCGCAATGAGATAAAAACTCGGCGCCACTGGCGGCCAAACGTGCATCAGAAAGAGCTCTACAGTGCGAGTCTAGAGAAAAATATAAAGATTCGTATCACTACACGCGTACTACGGACAGTTAGAAAGGTTGGCGGCCTTGATGAGTATCTGCTGGGCGAGAAGGCGGCGCGCATCAAAGAACTTGGCATGGGTGGCTGGAAACTCCGCTGGCGAATAATGCAGACCCCGACAGTCCGCGATCGATATAATAAACAGCGCAAGGAACTTGGGCTACCACTCGTAGGTCTGCCGCCCGGCGCGACAGACGAGCTTCCCGAAAATGGGCAAGTGATAGCTGAAGAAATCAAAACGATAGACGAACAATTAGTGCAGGGCACTACAATAAATATGGGTCAGGAGGAAGACTTATGTGAACCTGAGCATCCTACTGCAACTCCAAGCCCCCTCTGAGAATTTAAGGCGGATGAAAGGTCACCCACTCTGCCCATGTAGTGGTCGACAGCTTCCCCCAATTTACGGCCGATTTCAAGAAAAAGAAAATTTCCGAGACTCAAGCGTTGATTCTTGTCACAAACTGGGCGAAATATAGAAGAAGTTTTGTTTAATTAAATTCGTTGATCAAATGCAATTTCTCAAACCTCGAACCTCATCTATTACCTCACTTCATAGCGACTGATAAAATGACACATCGCTTTATGGGTGCGCCATATGTACTTTTAAACCATACACCATTAAGATCTTGTTCACATCCAACGCAGGGCTTGTCTGAAATTGCAGTTAGACGTGGCTAAAGTAAACAAAGGCTGTGGGGGAAATCGTGATAAGCCTTTCACCTAGTTTCTAACATTAATAAATATGAGGCGGAGCCTGAATAGAGTACACTAATTCTATATCCCTCAAACTTCAAAGTATACAGCAAGCTATATACATCAATCTCCCTCTAGTTTCCAATTTTACCCATACAGTCCGTCGTAGGTATGTGAGCGTGACCAGGTAGGATCAATTGTATACCAAGTAAGGACTGAACAATGTCAAGTATGTCTTTCGACTGTACTCAGATTATACTCGTCCCATACCTGAACTAACCTCAATCCCAAAACGATGAAACGAATCAAGTTTTGTATGCTAGGTCCTCTATCGCTAGCGTGTATGGAAAATGGGAGATTTACCTGTAGATAGATAAAGACGTTGTAGCCCTCTGATGGTTGGGAGAAGTCTTCTACTAAACAATGCCGAAATCAATCCTAGCCTCTTATTAAGCAATTTCATGAACCTATTTCCGTGTCTGTTGTAACAGACCAATACATTAAATCGACCTGTAAGTCGATCGACGAATACAATCGCAGGCCTTTGTTTAAGAGGGTCAAGGTCGATAACCTTTTTTATCTGGGCCTGCCTCGCGAATATACTCTACACATACCCAATAAGCCTCCAGTAATCATATGCCAAAGAAAAGGAATGGATTGTATCCAGACATGGACTTCGACGGTGTACCATTACTGCACGGTAAAATGCCACGTTCAGGGGAGTTGAAGAGTTTTTTGGAGGCTTCAGGCCGAGCTTGCTTTTATGGCACTTTCTCTGCGCTGCCATTCCTCTGGTGCCCCATGATTATCGACCGGACGATTCTCATACAGCACTGATGGTCGAACCCTTACATCCTAGTCCACTAGAGATGATGCTAGATGTAAGGGCGGAAAATCACTTCATCTTGGGTCCGGTAGTCTCATGAGATGGTGACGGACCTCACTTTACCTCACGAGCTTACCCGCTACTAGCTCTCTGGGCTAACCTGTGTGTCCAATCTTGCATATCATCAGGAATTGGCGACAAGCTGGGCCTTTCGCATAGAACAAGTTCTTCCAATAGTTCTTATGTAAGGTGATCTGGAGGACTATTATCAACACCTATCAGTGGTGTCCCCTACGAGCCCCCAGCTCTTACCGAGAGTCTGTAGAGCTGAGATTGAGTAACGCCTTTCCAACTTTGAGCTGAGTTATCTCCCCCTCCGTCAAAGATACGCATCCGATAACACATAAGACGACCAAGACGACGATAACGATGCTGGGGATGGGGAAAGATAATGCGGTACCAAACTCTACAAAGTTAATCAGAGAAGCCCTTGTGATATTATAACAGGTGTTACCCACCGGTGGGCAAACAAAAGCTCACGAAATCAAAGAAAAAGACCCTTCCTCCCTCAAGAAAAGCAGATTTAGACGCGTCAAAAATATCGTCCCTTCTAATCTATACTTCCATATTCACTAGCCAGGAGGGCATCTATAATACATGAATTACTCGACAACCTCACGTTCGTAACGACTTTTGCACGCTAGGCTAGGTTTCTTCACGGCAGTCACTCTCGACAAAGACTTTTCTGACATCCTTTCACGACCTTCGGTTTGTCCTGCGGCATGAATCAAGGGAGGAGTAAGGAGGAGGCTAGGAAGGTTGAGAGAAGCTCTTAGGTATACACAGGTCTGCTGCGCCCGGCTGGCCGGCCTCTTCATAATAGGAGAGCCCCGCACCCAGTGGTTTTTGAGACTTTTCACTGCAGCTACACACCCGCAAATGGCCATCGTTTCGTTGGCTGGAGAGGGGAGATAATGACGGGATATCGGCTTCTCTTGGTGTGTACTCGAATGAAGACCTGTGGGGATATTACTGCTGGAAAGAAGTAGTTAAGGAGACATAGGATGGAGTACACTACCCGATGTATAGATACTCCCGGCCTGTAGGCAGAAAGGACAATAAACCTATACATACATATGTAAGGTTATCGACAGGGTACACCTCGTTTCCGCACAATACAGTTGTAGTTATCTCTTCCATAGAAGAATATTCCCCTCAAATTTCTCAAGGAAATTTCTCAAAACTAGTTGCATGGGCATATAAATCGACTGGCACCAGGGTTCTGGAACACGGACCTGCTACACTTCCAATAGAAATCTCCTTGAAGCAACAAAGGGTATAATATGTGGGATATTCAAATTCCCTACCAGTTCAAAAGACTATTCAATCAGCATGTGCTAAAATAAAACTTCCCAGAAGAGGAAGAGAAGATATTCGAGCAAATAATAGAAGAGCTGACCTCGCCTACTGGAGAGAGATTTGCAGAGAGGAGAAATCTAAAGATTTACAGAAAGAAGGGCTAAAGATTGCAGCATACCTAGAATGGGCTAAATCTTGGTCTATCCCAAAGCGATGCCGACAGCCCCAAAAACGTGCTACAGCAGATCCTGAAACTTGGAAGCAGCTGAGCTCTATCAATGCCGACATTCTGGACGTCAAAGAATAAGTTTCCAGAAGTCTCCTCTTACTCTCCACAAAAACCCGACAAGGGCCCAAAGTAGTCTAGCAATCCAAATTCAAAGCGAGCACATTGGGCTTAATTCTTATTTGCATAGAAGAAAAGTAGCAGGAGTCTACGATCCATGCTGTCCGCGTGGCTACCAATCACAAAATCCCAAGCACATGATCATGTCCTGCTCTAAGTGGTTAAGTGGTAGGGGTGAGATCTGGAGACAAGCCAAAGATCGGTCCTACGAAGCAATGATACACAATACTGGTGATATTAAAAGAATTACGCAATGGATTCTTAGTCATGGTTGGATAGACCAATTCCGCATGAAAAATGCAGTCGAAATGCTGATTAGACAACGAGGCAGGACTGGCACAAGGTTGGGGTCGTTACAGGGGACGTGATTGGTGCACATCGACGTTGTTATAGTGTAACTGTACTTCCTGAAGGACAAATTGCAAACTCTAAGAATTAAATCAGAAAGCTTGGGGGGTTTTCACCGAGAAGTTTCCTCTTTTGTAAATATATAGATAGGTGTATAGCCACCTGCATGGGCCCATAGGGCGCCAAATCAGGATAATGAATACAAATCACTGAAGAATATTAATTATTTCACGGTATTGCTTGCGCGCACTGCCAGTCTGTTTTAAGCGTTAACAGTTTAGCCCAGTCCTTCATAATCATAGACTCAGTAGGGAGTGTATGAATTTCAATTCAGTCTAAGCCGATGGGACCTTTCTCGGCCCATATTTCGTAAGTCGCAGCTTGCGGGATCACTGAGGTGCCCGAAGATAGTATCAAAGACGAGGAATTTCCGGATTCTAGGGGACATGGGGCAAGGGGAATGGTGCATGTTTGGAGGACCAGATACAGTATGAGAGACGTGAGACGTGAGGTGTGAGGAGACGAGTCGAAAGAAGAGATCAGGCTGTAGGATTAGTTAAATTTACAAGGAAGTCGCACTATCTCTAACAGGTGTGCACAGCTATTATTTATACACGGATTCCAGACTACTACCAGCAGATTGTAACGAGTCTTTGAGAAGCTAATATTCCCCTAGAATATTTCAAAAAGTACCTGATATTACAGCTGTTCCGGTCCGTCTCCAAACTTACTATTGAGCCCTACCCATTAGAGCAATCTAGGCCATCAGGATCATCCATAGGCTCATGATCCGATCAGCTTAATAGAATCACTGACATTGACCTAAACCTGAATGAAGATAGCGACTCGAATCACTGGGCTCTAGGGAATCTATAAAAGACTCAAAACAAAGTATGATGAACTTTTCGACGACCACAAAACATAATCTAGTATATAGGGCCGACTATTATCACATGAGTCAATGATTCTCCTTATGTCACCCAATATTTACGAGCTAGGTCAAACTGAAGACTTCACAGAGATTGAATTCTTATTCTAGCAGCGGCACAAATCTAGGAAAACACATGGACATAAATTTACGACATTCAATCCGAAACTAATCTTATTTTAGCTATGGTGTTTTTGAGATCAAAGGAATACATGCGTTAGTACATAACAGGGGCTGGAGAAGATAGCGCTAGGCTGCGGAGGGACTGGTTGAATATGATCGAAATCTAACATTACCCTTCCTCTTTCTAGGTGCGCGCGAGGGGCAGGGAGATATGAGCTGCAATTCTTTTAGACAAGTTTTTGGCATCTGGTAAGCTGATGACTAGTTTCCAGTCTACCGCACCAAGTATGGCACGAGCTTCCAATTCGCTCTAGAATCTAGCACAGCTTCAACGTCTTAAGTTCCTACATCTGTAGCTGGTGGCTGTATGCACTGCGATCAAGAAAATTCAGAGTAATCGAGGCTTATCAGGCTAGTGTGAATATTTTTATCGATCCTGACCTTCAAAAGGGTGTTGAACTCCGCTGGTAGTGAAGATTTCATGGTTGAAGTTTCTATGAGACCAGATCGAGTATTATCTAGCTTTTCAAAGGGCAAATAAATCATCTCTCCTACTTGATAGCAAGAGTTCGGCACCCATTATTCAATGGCGTGAGAGGCTCCAAATGCTCGAGCGAGTTTAATCTTTCCACGTAGTGTTGAGCTGAGTTTTTTACTTTGATCGATGGATATAAATTCAAGTCTCTACTGAGTCCTAAACTCCGAAAGACGACT